GGGGGGGGGGACAGAGAGAGACAGAGCATGAACGGGGGAGGGGCAGAGAGAGAGGGAGACACAGAATCGGAAACAGGCTCCAGGCTCTGAGCCATCAGCCCAGAGCCTGACGCGGGGCTCGAACTCACGGACCGCGAGATCGTGACCTGGCTGAAGTCGGACGCTTAACCGACTGCGCCACCCAGGCGCCCCACCCCTGTATTTTTAAAATGAATATGTGAGGGGCATCTGGGTGGCTCCTGAGATCAAGCCCTGCATCGGGCTCTGTGCTGACAGCACGGAGCCTTCTTGGGATTCTCTCTCTCCCTCTCCCTCTCTCTGCCCCTCCCCTGCTCTCTCCCTCAAAATAAATAAGTACACTTAAAAAAATAAATACATGAAAAGCCCATCTGACATAATAGTTATTTTTAAGGAAAACTTATTAGCGTGTATTGAATAGGCCTATGTTATTTCCCTCAGGCTGGGTATTTGCTCTTGGTAAGGTATGTATTATACGTGTGATATGTGTATATGACATATTAGACAAGTAATGTGTAAGTATGTAATATATGTAGTGTGTTTTTATTGTGTATCAACATTTATTTCTGTGTTTCAAGGTAGAGCAGCTCTTTTTGAGTCAAAGGTAGAAGAGTAGAGAGCCTGAGATAACTCTGGAATCCCAGAGTTCCTCCAAAGATATTTTTGAAAACCACTAAACCTGATGATGTCTAAAATCTCTTGTTGCTTTGACATTGTGTATAGATCTTCCTCAACTTAGGATGGAGTTACACTTAGGTAAACCCATCTTAAGTTGATGAAAATATCCTAAGTTGAAAATTCACCTGATAACACTTAACCTGGCAAACATTGTAGCTTAGCCTGCCTTTTTTTTTTTTTTTTTTTTTTTAAGAGAGAGCAAGCACCTGTGTATATGTGTGCAAGCTGGGGAGGGGCAGAGGGAGAGGAGAGAGAATCTCAAGCAGACTCTACACCCAGTGGGAGCCTGTTCTCAGGACCTCACAACTGATATTAGGACCTTACTACTGTGAGATCATGACCTGAGCCAGAATCAAGAGTTAGACACTTAACTGACTGAGCCACTGAGGCACCCCTAGCCTAGCCTACCTTAAATGTGTTTAGAACACTTAACATTAGCCTAGTTGGGTAAAATCATCTGGCACAAAGCATGTCTTAATAATGAAATGTTAGGGGCGCCTGGGTGGCGCAGTCGGTTAAGCGTCCGACTTCAGCCAGGTCACGATCTCGCGGTCCGTGAGTTCGAGCCCCACGTCGGGCTCTGGGCTGATGGCTCGGAGCCTGGAGCCTGTTTCCGATTCTGTGTCTCCCTCTCTCTCTGCCCCTCCCCCGTTCATGCTCTGTCTCTCTCTGTCCCAAAAATAAATAAACATTGAAAAAAAAATTAAAAAAAAAAAAAGTGAAATGTTAGATATCTCACGTAATTTATATTACAGTGAAAAACTGGTCGGTATGGGTACAGAATGGTTGTGAGTGTATTGGTTACTTACCCTTGTGATCGCATGGCTGACAGGGAGCTGAGCCTCCCTGGGCTGCCACAGCCCAGCATCACGAGAATATCCTACTGGATATTGAAAAGATAAAAAACAAAATATGAAGTGTGGTTTCTACTGAATGCATATTACTTTCACACCATCCTGAAGCCAAAACTTGTAAGTCAAATCACCGCAAATCAGGGACCATCTCATTTTTAAGACATGAAGTGTAAAATTCTCCCCTTTTTAGGTAATTGCATTTCCTTTTTTTCCATTTTTTTCTGTTTTTTTAGGCCTCTCCTATAAATATAAACCCTTACTTTCTTTTCTGTATTCCTTCAATACCTAATATAATGTTGTGGAAAAAGTTGGTAATCAGGAAGCATAAAGTTGCTTGTTTTTTGTTTGTTTGTTTTTTGTTTTTGAACCTGAGTATACTCATTTGGTAATTGCCACATATTTCGAATCTGTGCTATATGAGAAATGGTCTGGTTTTTATAGAGCTTATGATATAGCAGGAAGTAAAGACAAAAGGATTAAACAAAACAAAGGTTAAATTACCTGACTATAATAGAAAGTCACAGTAGGAAGATGTGAGACATAGCAAATGAAGAAAGCTGCATGAAGGAGGTGGGACTTCTGATTTATTTTTTATTTTTTTGTAATTCATTTGTTCTTGAAAGAGAGCGTGATTGGGGGAGGGACAGAAGGAGAGAGAGAGAGAATTCCAAGCAGGCTCCTAACTGTCAGCACAGAGTCTGAGGGGCTCAAACCCACGAACCATGAACCACAAGACCATGACCTGAACTGAAATAAGAGTTGGATGCTTTTTTTTTTTTTTTTTTTTCCAACGTTTATTTATTTTTGGGACAGAGAGAGACAGAGCATGAACGGGGGAGGGGCAGAGAGAGAGGGAGACACAGAATCGGAAACAGGCTCCAGGCTCCGAGCCATCAGCCCAGAGCCCGATGCGGGGCTCGAACTCACGGACCGCGAGATCATGACCTGGCTGAAGTCGGACGCTTAACCGACTGCGCCACCCAGGCGCCCCAAGAGTTGGATGCTTAACCGACTGAGCCACCCAGACACCCTGAGACTTCTGATTTTTTAAGAGTAGAGAACATTTTATTTGAATTGAGTCACAGGTGGATATATGGTATATAAAGGGAACAAGTTAAGGAAAGCTCTCATTGGAGTAGAGGAGAATGCAAATGAGGAATGCTGCAGTATGTGTATGTAGATAGCCGGGGGTTAGCTTCTGTCACATTTTTAATAATCCTTACCCCGTTTTTCTGTTCTCGTTCGTAACAAAAATGTGTTCTGTGCTTAGAGATTTAATTTGCCTACAATTCAAGTATAAACAGATGTATAATTGTCTTTAGGCGTTGCTTGAGAGGACTGGCTATACTCTGGATGTAACCACAGGACAGAGGAAGTATGGCGGTCCTCCGCCAGACAGTGTGTACTCGGGTGTGCAACCGGGAATTGGAACAGAAGTGAGTATTCTTCAGCTGTTTGCCGAAATCTTTCCAGTTTGTAAATTATTCTATTCTATAATAGGGAAAAATACTGGATTCTTTTCAAAGTGTAGTTATAATTATTCGTTTTGGATATCCATCTGTATTTTACTGTCCTCCTAAGCAAGGAGAATCACGTGACTAGTAGATGCCCAAACACTTTGTAAAGGAATGTAGAGTTCTTAGAACTAGTTTCTAAAACCGTGCAGCCAACAACACACTGTTTTAGTTGCTTGGGTTGAGGTTATTAAGGACAAAGAATTGCTTTGTTCTGTTTTTGTTTCATGTCAGTAATTTTGAACAGTGCTTGTCCTCCCTTCTTGACCCACCCTCCTCACATAAAGGGTACTCAATATTTCCTGAGAGATTTATTGATGGGAGTGGGTTACACAAGGGAAGGATGTAGAATCAGATAAAGGTAGAGCACATTGGTTTGTCCTTGAGCAAAGAAGCAATCCTTCCTCCCGTATGAGCCTTTGTAAAGGTTTCTTCATACACCTTTATGTTAGTTAGCCAGTTCTAATCCTTTAAATGGTAAAAACTGTATGCCAAAATGTAAGTTTACAGCAGGACCTTTTCTGATTGGTGTCTTTCAGGTAACCACGAGCAAAGATAATTATTTCTAGTTTGTGAATAAAGATATCACCAATTAACATAACCTTTTAGATTTATATCAGAAGTAATTCCAGTATATTCTCTGTGTAGAGAATAGAGTTTACATTCATTGGTCTTTGTTCCCTGAACATCTTTCAAACATAATTACAACTAGTATTCTATTTCTTAATATTTAGCAATATTAAAAGGGACTCCAAGCATTTAAACATTTTCTTTTAAGATTTTTTTATTTTTAAGTGATCTCCATACTCACGTGGAGCTCAAACTCACAACCCAAGATCAGTTGTACACCCAGGCAGTTGCCCCAACCCATTCTTCATTTTTAACATTCTACTTAGATTTTGAACCCTTTCAAATCTACGTTTATATTTTGTTTACTTTTTTTTTTTTTTACTTTTTTTTTTTTTTTTTCCAACGTTTATTTATTTTTGGGACAGAGAGAGACAGAGCGTGAACGGGGGAGGGGCAGAGAGAGAGGGAGACACAGAATCGGAAACAGGCTCCAGGCTCTGAGCCATCAGCCCAGAGCCTGACGCGGGGCTCGAACTCACGGACCGCGAGATCGTGACCTGGCTGAAGTCGGACGCTTAACCGACTGCGCCACCCAGGCGCCCCTATTTTGTTTACTTTTAAACAGTAGGTAGTTTGGCCTTCTTACTTGAACGACTTCATAATGTACTTTTTTCTGATGGTTTTACCATTAAGTTTTGTTTTCTTACCTTAGACCGTCATAAAATAAATAAAAAATGGGGGGAAAAAAGTAAAAAATGGAATTGCTTATTTGCCTCTTCCTTATTTTGAGGCAGCCTAAAACACCTCCAAGAGGGGAATACAGTCTAAAAAAGTTATCTATAGTGTATCATCCAGCAAGTGATGTCCTTGTTGATATTTACCAATTACTACATTTATTTTAGTCTTATTTCTTTAGTTATAAAATCCTTAGGAATAAAAATTAAGACTGCATAATATTGTTATTGTATATTACGTTGTTATTGTGTATTATATATTATCGTATGTTATAAAATATAATTTTAAAACTATGTTTTTATAGTTGGTCTATTTTATAATTATAAAAATGAACTTTTTTAGCCCATTGGATTGGTTTTATTAACGAGCTCATTAATGGAGACTTGTTGTATCTTTGTTTTATATAGATAAGAAAGGAGTTTGTTAGTATTCTTAAGATTTTGCTGAAAGCATTTGAACCATTTAATAGGATAAGCTATTTTGAGTATCCAGTTAGAAACAAAGTTGGTATCTTAATTGTAAAATATGTATGTTCTCTTATATTGCATTGTCTCTGAAAAAGATGCATTTTCCTATATATTGGGTATCCTTGCATACAGCAAATATTGCTACAGTGAAATCCCTGTATGAGCGTAAGCCACTCCTGTCAAGCAGTTTGTTACCACAGAATCTTAGTGTAAAGGTTTGGATTCTTCCTATAAAGTTAAATGAGATTTGGTCTATACTTGTTGAAAATTAAAGTTTTTTAAAAATCAGAAAAATAAGAGGTTTTTTAATATATTGGCTTGCTAATTTACTAAATTGGTTTTAGTTGGTGTCATTTTGATGCTGTGAAGTTTAAGTTTTTGTTTCTTTTTATATTTCACTACAGTCATTAAAAATTTTTAGCTCTTGATTGAGAAAGTTGAAATTAGGGTCAGTGCCTGAGACTGACAGTAGTAAAATTTAGTTGTGAGAAGAGGAAGGGTTCATCTTTGGGTAAAACGTACTATAAGTTAATCCTATAAGTGAGCACCCATTTGCAGACGTTGTTCTTAAACATTGCCCTGAGATGCGAAATGTGCTGGAGAGATAGGTATTAATTTTGAAGTGTATTTTTTAGTGTGTCTTGGCCCTCAGATCAGGTCTGGTTCTAGTACCTGTGCCTCTTCAGCTGGCATTGTACAATTATTTTGGGAAGGAACTTCTGTTTTTATTTGTTTACATTATAATAAGCACTTACGTGTTTAAAGAGCAGAGCACTGATGTTTTGTAGAGGAATTTAAGGGAAATGGTAGATTGAGATTTAATTCTTTGGTTGATTAATGGAAGTGTGAGAAAACCAGTATATTTAACAGAGATGTAAAAGTATATGATTTAGTAGTACCTAAATTGAATTGTGTATAAGGAAGAGCTGCTGTGTTTGCAAAATAGCAAATAAGAGCTGGATGATGGACGAACTCCGTAGGCACTCAAAAGACGATGTTGTGCTGCCTGTTACCTCTATTGCTTCCAGAGCCTCAGAGGGCTTTCTCTGTTACTGTTGAAATATTTGATGGATAGATAGTAGACAGCTAAAACTTTTTTCAAGCCTTGATGCTTAGTGAGGAAAGAAAGGACTGTTGTTACAGTGTTCATTAGATGCTGTTGGTTCTGATGGGGGTGGGGGGTGGGGAGGATTACCTGCACATGTCTGAGTGCTGACTCCAAAGGGTTCATGTGGAGCCAGAGTGGCACAGGGACCAACAAGTTAATATAAGGAAAGCATTTCTATTTCATTTTAGTTAATTAAAAATTGAGCTTAGAAACTTTTAAAGGAATTATGCTTGATTAGTTCTTGAATACTATTTATTTTTCGCCTTTTTAAGTTAATGTCCTAAGTTAAACTGATCTTGAAGTGAAGCCATCTCCTTTTTCTTAGTAAACCAGTATTGTTATTATTTTTTTTTAACGTTTTATTTATTTTTGAGAGAGAGAGAGACAGCACAAGAGGGAGGGGCAGAGAGAGAGGGAAACACAGAATCCAAAGCAGGCTCCAGGGTCTGAGCTGTCAGCACAGAGCCCGACGCAGGGCTTGAACTCACAAGCAGTGAGATCATGACCTGAGCCTAAGTCGGACGCTCAACTGACTCTGAGCCACCCAGGCGCCCCTGTTTTACTATTATTTTTTTAGTGTTTAATTTTGAGAGAGAGAGAGAGAGAGAGGCACAGAGTGTGAGCCAGGGAGGGGCAGAGAGAGAGCGAGACACAGAATCCAGATCAGGCCCCAGGCTCTGAGCTGTCAGCACAGAGCTCAACACTGGGCTAGAATCCACGAACCGTGAGATCGTGACCTGAACCAAAGTCCAACGCTTAACCGACGGAGTCGCCCAGGTCCCCCAGTAAACCAGTATTGTTAGCCTGTTTCTTCACGGACCCCAGTGATTATAATACTGGGGACTTTGTTGACCATGGATTTGCTGATGTTTTGTTTTGTATTGTTTTGTTTTTCCAGAACATTTTTTTTCTAATCTTATTTTTTTAATTTTTTTTTCAACGTTTATTTATTTTTGGGACAGAGAGAGACAGAGCATGAACAGGGGAGGGGCAGAGAGAGAGAGAGGGAGACACAGAATCGGAAACAGGCTCCAGGCTCTGAGCCATCAGCCCAAAGCCCGACGCGGGGCTCGAAACTCACGGACCGCGAGATCGTGACCTGGCTGAAGTCGGACGCTTAACCGACTGCGCCACCCAGGCGCCCCTCTTATTTTTTTTATTTAGCTTTATTTTTTATTTTTAAAAATTTACATCCAAATTAGTTAGTATATAGTGAAGCAATGATTTCAGTAGATTCCTTAATACCCCGTACCCATTTAGCCCATCCCCCCTCCCACAACCCCTCCAGCAACCCTCAGTTTGTCCTCCATATTTATGAGTCTCTCTTGTTTTGTTCCCCTCCCTGTTTTTATATTATTTTTGTTTCCCTTCCCTTGTGTTCATCTGTTTTGTCTCTTAAAGTCCTCATATGAGTGAAGTCATATGATTTTTGTCTTTCTCTGACTAATGCTGATGTTTCTTTTATTCAACGTTTATTTATTTTTGGGACAGAGAGAGACAGAGCATGAACGGGGGAGGGGCAGAGAGAGAGGGAGACACAGAATCGGAAACAGGCTCCAGGCTCTGAGCCATCAGCCCAGAGCCTGACGCGGGGCTCGAACTCACGGACCGCGAGATCGTGACCTGGCTGAAGTCGGACGCTTAACCAACTGCGCCACCCAGGCGCCCCGATGTTTCTTTTAAAGTAAAACAGTATTCTTAAAAAAATCTGTAAGTTAGACTTCTAACATTCAAATGATATTTTAAAGTACAAGGAACTTGTGAATCCTTTCTGTAAAGTATTTAATCAATCATTAAGTTACTTTTTCTGAAAATACAGGTTTTTCACTTTAGGTTTGCTTGATAAGGTAAACTTTCTGGTTCTAAAAATATAAGCACAAATGTGATAGAAGTAGTATAATAATCTGACACCCAGCTTCCTCACTTAGCTGTGTGTCAAAGGTTTTTTCATATTGCCACTTTCTCTGCTCTTTCTTTGCTTTATTATATATTTGTAATGGGTATGGAAGAAATAGGGGTGGTGAAAAATGCAATTATGAAGCACCACTGCATTATGTTAATAGAAGCAATATGAAACAGAATTTGCTTTCAAGAACAGTTTTTAAATATTCAAATACAAGTAACCTCAAATATAAAAACACTTTGTTCGGGTTGGGCCAGAGAGCTTAGCCACACCAAAAAATACACTTCAAAATGAATACCAGTTATCCTTGTTTATTTTTTGTCTTAATGAATGCTCATTTATAGGATTGATAATATAGGGTGGTATAGCTGAGGCTAGTGAGAAGTGGTTAGATTCTATCAGGATTTATTGATGAGTTGGATATGGGGGTATGGGAGAAGGGAGCCAAGGAAGACTTCAAAGCTTATGACCTGAGCAGCTAGAAGGATGGAGTTGCCATTTATTGAAGAATGCTGTACCGAAGGACATTTTGGCAAGATTGAAAGATTGCAGTTCAGTTCTAGACATGTTAAGAGTTAGATGTCTCTTAGACCTCCAAATGGAGCTGTTGAGTGAGCAGTTGCTTATATAATCCTGGAGTTGAGGGGAGAGTTTTGGCTGGAGATTATAAATGGTGGGAGGCATAGGCATCCAGATGGTATTTAAAAACCAGAGTTTGGATGTGGTCACCAAGGAAGTGTGTGCAGCTAAAATAAAGGTCTGAGATCTGATCCCCACAGCCCTCTACGTTTAGAGGTTCGGGAGATGAGAAGGAACTAACTAGCAAGGGAACTGAGCAGAAAGAGAAAAACCTGGGGTGTGGTATCCTAGAAGTCAAGTGAAGAGAGTTTTCACAAAAGGAAGCTTGGTCAATGATAACAAACTTTCCAAGTAAGACAAGGACTGTGAATTGCCATTTGATTGTGGCAACGTGGATGTCATTAGTGACTTTGGCAGTGGTGGTAAAAACTGGGTTTGGAGAAGATTCAAGAGAGTGGGAGGTGAGGGGTTTGAAAATAGCAAGAATGTATAGCTCTTTTGAGCACTTTTGCTATAAAGGGTAGCAGAGGAATGGGACAATAACTGGAAGGTGTGTCATAGTCAAGATATATTTTTGTTTTCATTTAAACTTTAAGTGAGAAATTATGATCACTTGTGTGCTGATGAGAATGGTCTATATGTAAAGGAGAAAATTGATGATCAGATTGTTGCTGGACCAAGCGTCCTTGAGTAGAAGAGAAGGAACGGGTTCTAGTGCATAAGCTAACAGCATGAGGTAGATTTTCATTTGTACATTCGTCAAAGGTGAGCAGCTGTTAATGTTTCAGGCACTGTGATCCGTACTGGGAATAAAATGAGAACAAGATGTGGGCTCTCTGCTCACATGGAAATTGAACCCTCTTGATGGTGTTATTCCCAGATAGGGTATTGCAACTCACTGATTAAGAAACTTACTCAAAAGTAACTAAAATGTAGATTTGAATCCAACATAACTTAAAAGTCAGCTATTTCTCACATTCTCCCTACCTTCACAGCTGTCAACGTATTAGTCCGTACCACCATCATCCCTTGTCTGGATTGCCTTGTGAACCTGACTGGTCAGCCTGTTTCTCCATATAATCCATTTTCTGCCTAGCTGACAGCCCTTTAGAACATGTCATACCTACTCACTGCCCAGAACCCCCTGATATCTTCCCAACCCATTTGGAATAAAATGCAAACTCCTAACATGGTTTAACTTAATCTGGCCCCTGTTCTCTCTTTCCCAACAGGTTTCTATTCCATCACTGTCCTGTATCTGTTTTTTCAGCTACGTCTAGTGTATTCCCATCTTTTTGCAGTTCCTTTACCTTGGAATGCTCTTTCTTCAGATTTTTCCTTAATTTTCTACCTTAAGTCTCAGTTCAAATTTACTTCTTCAAGGAAGCCTTCCTAATTAAAATATAGCCTCTTCCTCATCATTTATTCCCTTTCCTTGCTTTTTTCTTAGCCTTTAACACCTCTTGAAATCATATTGTGTATTTAACTTTTTTCTCTATCAGTAGTATTTAAGTCTCATGTTTAGACCTTGTTTGTGGTATTCACTGTATCTGTAGAACTTAGAAAAACAAACATGGCACATGAATTGAAGGTATATGCAATTCCATGTCTCATGAAAAGTTTGGACAAGTTCTATGAGTTGGGAGGAATCCAGTTATCTATATAGGCTAGGTATTATTTATTGGAACAACTTGAAGCTGATACTTAAAAGATTAATTGGATATGGATAGGGATGGGAGGGATTCAAAATATCTGAGATTTTTTTTTACATAGGTATTATTTCTTTAGTCATCTCATGGGTGGAGGGAGCAGCAGAACTTACGTTCTCCTAAGAGAAATGGGGAAAATTAAAGGAACTAGTTGGCAAGTGTGGGTTTTACTTATTTTGTTTTTTGGAAGGAAGAAACACTTGTTACAAATCTATTATATGTACCATGTAATACTTAGGAAATATAATTAAAGAAAAAGAATAAAATTAGAACAGTTTTTTCATGCACTGATAAACCACTATTAGTACTATTCTGATACATAATCATTCATGTTTATGTCTGCATCTGTATTCAGAAAACAAAAATTTGGGGCACTTGAGTGGCTCAGTCGGTTAAGCGTTTGACTTCGGCTCAGGTCATGATTTCGTGGTTCATGGGTTCGAGCTCCGCGTCGGGCTCTGTGCTGACAACTCAGAGCCTGAAGCCTGCTTCGGATTCTCTCCCCCACTCGTGCTTTGTCTGTCTGTCTCTCTCTCTCAAAAATAAATAAGCATTTAAAAAAAACTAAAAACACAAAATTGGCATTGCTAGACTTATTGGTGATTTGAGGTAAAATCTGGACAACCAAGAGGAAATGCTTCCTAGGCAGTTGGAAGTATAAAATTAGGTCTTGGGATGTAAATCTGGGAGATGACTATATAGTAGACTTGGAGAATGGATATGATCTTTAAAAGTGAAGAAAATACAGGGAAGATGAGATAGAGCCATAACTTTGGGAAACATGCAGATTACTACTAGGTGGCCAGAAGAATCACCATGGAAAGGATAGAGAAATAATTAAAGGTGAGAAGACCAGGCTAGTGGAGGATCCTGAAAATTTAAGGGAAGAGAATTTTTAGGAGGCAGCACCACTAATGTTAATGCTTATTGCAAAGGCAAGGAGGATGAGACTGAGGAAGCAAAGTATCCATTAGTGACATTTGGGCATACAGCTTAGCATTAGAGGAAGAAGCCAGTGCTAGTTAGAGAGAGAACATAGATGGCAAGGGCTTTTCAGAGTGAGTTTTCGTTAGAAACATGGTTCTATAGGGATATCGCATAGATGATGCCTTAGGTATCTAGTTATTCTCTGTAGCTGCACAGCATTAAGGATATAGTAGATGTGATGTGTTCAAAGCGTTTGAAAGTGAAAGGTAAATGGGTGACGGTTTCTTGTTTGTATATTGTTTTGTTATGGGAAATTTGGCACGTTTGAAGACAAGAACCAGTGGGTAGGAAAGGATGTACTGAGCAAAATAGGAGAGTCGAAGAAATAAAGTTTGCGGTTATTTCCAGAAGAAGGTGGGGAGAAGAAATGGGCTTAGTTATTAGGGGTAAGGAGTTAACCTTGGAAAGGAAGTAAATCTCTTTCTCTGAGGTATAAAGAAGTAAAAACAGTTACTGAGAAAGTTTTTAAGGCTGAGAGGAGAGAATATAAGGACACCGGTGACTTTCCCACACAATCTCCTTGGAATGACTTAGTGAACGAGGATTGGAGACTTCACTGAGACAGAAGGACTGAATAGCTGTTATGTGAGAATTATACTAGGAATTCAAAAGAAGACCTCAAGTTTTGCCAGACAGCAGTGAAGGTAAATTTGATTATTTTGAAAAGGGTTGTCTGAGAACAACTGTTACATTAACACCAGAAACTTAATATCTAGTAATAATTTGGCCATCTTTTGGATTGCTGTTTAACTAATCAGGTCATTTTTCATAGTATGAAAAGATGAAGATGTGTTTCACTAGAAAATTCATCTCTAACACAAACATTTACTCTTTAAGACTGTGTGTGGATTGCAAATGTTTTCATGTGAAAGATAATCTTTGATGTTGCCGACATGGTGGAAATTTGAAAATTGTGATATTAAATACTGAGAAGGTTTTTGATTGTTTAATTCTAATTAATGTTATAATTTAATCCTTATTACATAATTTTAATTAAGGTAGAGCACCAAATCCTCAAATGATGAATTTTTTTCACACCTTAAAATGAAATACTCTGACAGAGAAAGGGATAGACTGAAGCTCTGGAGGGTTTTGTTTGTTTTAATTTAACATCCAAGTTAGCATATAGTTCAACAATGATTTCAGGAGTAGATTCCTTAAGCCCCTTACCCGTTTTGCCCCTCCCCCCTCCCACAACCCCTCCAGCAGCCCTTTGTTTGTTCTCTATATTTGAGAGTTTCTTATGTTTTGTCCCCCTCCCTGTTTGTATATTATTTTTGCTTCCCTTCCCTTATGTTCATCTGTTTTGTATCTTAAATTCCTCATATGAGTGAAGTCATATGATACTTGTCTTTCTCTGACTAATTTTGCTTAGCATGATACCCTCCAGTTCCATCCAGAAGCTCTGGAGTTTTAAGTGGTAAAGATACTAGAGTTGAGAAAGCTTGAGGAAGAGCACTTCAGTCTTTATTCAATGAATGTTTTTATAAAAATGCAGAAATATTTCCCAAAGATAGATACATGCCCTTTGTTATTTTTGTGAGAAAAGGAAAAACTATAAAAATTAAAAATTTAGAGTTGTACGAATTTTGCACACTCTTTATTAATTAGCTTCCGTTTTTCCCTATAGAATATTGTTCTATGTTAATGACCCTAAGGTAATCATAATAAATCAACATTAAGGTTAACCCCCAAAGATTCAAATTGTACTTACTCCTCCTTAACCATCTTTGTGCCCCTAGCCCCTTAGAAAAAGGGCAGTTAGGCTTTATGACTCTAAAATCAAATGTTTACATTGGGATTGTAATACAGAGATTTTTTTTTCAGGTCTTCGTAGGTAAAATACCAAGAGATTTATATGAGGATGAGTTGGTACCCCTTTTCGAAAAGGCTGGTCCCATTTGGGATCTACGTCTTATGATGGATCCACTGTCTGGTCAGAACAGAGGGTATGCATTTATCACCTTCTGTGGAAAGGAAGCTGCACAGGAAGCTGTTAAACTGGTATGTGATAAAGAAATACACACCGTGTAGCAAGTCATTATTTGAGAGAGTTACCTCAATTAAAAATGTTTGCAGTTAACATTATTTTCTTCAGCTTTTGCTTTGAATGGTTATATATTGATTAAATTGGTACGTGATCTTTGCTCTGTCTTTTCTGATTATAAAAGTAAAAAAGAATGAACATACCCAAGAAATAATGTGTCAGAGAAAGTCTCTCATAATTCCTAGAAGTTATTTATTAGATTGGCTAGTAACTAAACTTTCATTTGAATATGCATTTGGCTTCTGCAGTTCCCTTTTGATTTTAGGCAGAAAGGATGTCAGTCATTACTATTAAACTTTAGGATAAGATTCTCAAAAGGGTAATGAAGGCTGGGATGGATTCTGCAGAGCATAACTGAGTAACAGCGACTTTTAGGACATAATTCAGGAAATTATTGAGACTCTTATTTTTGTCACCACCTAATCATACAATTTATTTTCTAAGTATATGCCTATTCTTTTCTATATTTTGTTTTCAGGCCCTTCAGCCTTCTCTGTCTTTAATCTTTCTCGCCTTTTTTTTTTTTTTTTTTTACTATTTTATAGCTAATCTTCTGTAATCTAGTAATTTCCTTTTTGCAGGGCCTTTAACCCTTTGTACTTAGTAGTACAATAGTATGACTACTACTAGGAGGAGTAGGAGTAACAGAGTTCTGCAAATGAGGTGTATCTTTACTCCTGTATTGGTACAACCATCTCAGTAACTTAAAATAACAGTGTCATTGTTTTTGCCTACTCTTTCCAGACATCTAAAAGCCTCACTTTGTCTAGTTCCAGTCCTTCTAGAATGGGTACCTCTTCCACCAGGGCTTTTGGTTTCATTAATCACTTCTAAATTACTTCCACTTCTAGCTTGACCCAGATTTTAGTTTTTATTAGGGACTTTTCCTTCTGACTTATTATTGAAAGTTTTCAACGCTTTATTTCCACATTTTTGGTAATGTATGGATGATTTTATTTTTTAATAATCACGTATCTTTTAGTAAGGTAATGGGTAAGTAATGTTAAAACCTAAGAAGCTGAACTTTACCAAGGAAACTATCACCATAGTGATTCAAATAAACTTTTTATTTCCTATTATTTCATGTAATTTTGAAGGTATTTTGAAGGTGTTTGATATGCTGTTTAAAACTTTTCATGTATACATTTAGAATTCTGTGTTTTGTGTAGAATGTGAAATTCTTCTAAATTTCTTTTGTATTAATTATACATAGTTGTTATTCTTTTTGTATTGTTATTTTGCCTTTGGCTTATCTGTATCTAATTTTATCTCCAAGGACCCTGAATGATCAGTCTTGGGTATTTTTTCTGAAGTTCTCTGGACAATTTTTCAGATAGATCACATTGAAATATTAAATAAGATACTTTAAAAAATAAAGTGAAATAACTGAGTCATTTTTATCCAGAGGAGCAGTGAAAGTTAACAAAACCAAACTAAGATGAGAGACCATAACGAGTTCTAAAATACACATTTATATAATGGTAAGCATGAGGGAACTTGGTGAGTTCATGAAGCAGGAAGTGTTTGACCTTAAATTGTTGACTTTTTTAGATTGAGATCAGTCGTCCGGAGTTTGGGATGGTTGTGGGGTATCTGGTTCTCTTCTTCCTTGCAGTGTGACAGCTATGAAATTCGCCCTGGTAAACACCTTGGAGTGTGCATTTCTGTGGCAAACAACAGGCTTTTTGTTGGATCAATTCCGAAGAATAAGACTAAGGAAAACATTCTGGAAGAATTCAGTAAAGTCACAGGTAAAACAAAAATGTATTTAGTAGAAGTTAGTTTTGGGACGTCTGTGGTACTATTTATAAGTACAAAAAAAAAAAAGGTGTATATTAATCTAAAAATTCAAAGAAATCTTCAATGTTTAAGTTGCCTCCTTTCTACTTTGCAGTGGTTTGGACTAAGTGTGTTCCCTCTCATCCTTAATTTCTTGGAATGACCCCTTCACTTCTGTGCCTTAGCTTTTGCCATAGTCTTGCCCTGAAGGCTTCCCAACATTAAGTGTGCTTCAGGGCCAAGAGGGTGAGAGTTCTTATCCTTCCTGTTGCCTTGTCTAAATCAGATTTTGGAAAATTTCTGATTCTAAATCCATGGAATTGAGAAGTTTGTTGAACATCACAGGTCTATATACATTTATAACTGAAACAAAATTTAACAAAACTGTTAATTTCACTTTTTATGCATGATTTAGCATGGTATTTCCTGTTCTTGTTCCTTTTTTTTTTTTTTTTTTTTTAATGTGGGTAGGGATATACTGTTGCTGGCTATGGTTTAAAAAAACATTGATTTAGACCATTACTTCCCCTCATAAAAACCATGTTTTTGTCTTCCAGATATATTATCCTTTCTCCTTCCTTGATGCTGTCATCTATTACTCTTCTGGTTTCAGTCTTTCATTAATTGGAGATTGCTCTGGCTCGTAGTGTTTCTCTTCTGCCCTAAATTGACTTATTTGTAGTACCTTTAACATGTATATCGATGAACTGTCCAATCCCCTAGCCTCCTAGTTTAATGACCACCTCATCCCCAGTTCTTTACCTCAGCTCCCCCACATCCAGATCACATTCTGGATCTTGCCGCCAGAAATTCTCCCCACTCCAAAATCTTGATTTCTAGCATTCCGCTTTGTAACCACTGCCACCGCCTGTCACAGTTGTGTTGGTTACGTACCCCTAATGGTGCAGTTCTTTGACCTCATCACTTTGTTAGTTTTCTGGCTTCTTACCCTTTAGTCATTCCTTCAGCAAGTGTTGATACCTAGTGCCTGTTAAGTGGTGGCATTGTGCTATTTGCTGGGATACAGTGGTGAATAAGATGTATTATCTGCCCTTGTAGAGTTTATATTCTGGGAAAGGAGATAAGACAAAAAAATTAAAGAAATATTTATACATTGGGGTAGGCAGTAAGCACTGAGAAGAGGGAGATGATACCTAGCTAGAGAATAGCTACTATCCTTGCTTTGATGGTTATGGGAGGCTTTTCTGATAAGATGACATTTCAACCAAGACCCAACGAATGAGGAGGATGTAGCATTCAAAGAGCAAAGGGATGTGCGTTCCAAGAGAGCAACACATACCACGGCTCCAAGGCAAGAGAGAAGTTGGTGTATTAAAGTAACTGAGAGAAGGCCAGTGTTCTTCAAATTACTGTAGAATTAAGGGTAGAATTGTATGAGATGCTACAGGGGGCTTTTGTGGACCATGTAAGGAGTTTAGATTCTTTGTGTAATGAGAAGGTATTTGGAGGTCTCAAGCAGGGAGTAATGTCTGTTTCATGCTTATAGAATATTATCTCTGCTGCCATATGGATAATGGTTTAGAGGGGCTTAAGAGGAGAAGCTAATTAATTAGTTGAGGCTGTCATGGTAGTTAAGATAGAAGATTGGACTAGGATAATAGCCATGAAGGTGGAAAGAGGTAGATGGGCTCAGAATTGGGTAGGGGAGTACAGGAGGTAAAGGAAGAAATCAAGAATGAGTCCTCAATTTCTGTCTTGAGAACCAGGAGATGGGACTGTTTGTTAGAGAAGTAGAGAAGACAGATTTAGGGAGCGGTGACTGCGGTTTTGGACATGTTAAATTAGAAATGTCTTTAAGTCTGGGCTAGAACCAAAACCTAAGCATTCTTAAGGATGTAGATAGCTTTTAAAAGTACAAAGTAGCCGATACTACCTAGAAAGAACATATGTGGAAAGATGAGAACACAAGACAGTAATATTTAGCAGTCATTTTCATTCTTGGCAAAAACCTTAATTTTTAAGTTAGATCCAAGGATGATTTTTGGTAATGAGTATTTGTTGAATGTAAGTTCTCTTGGGTTTATGTTAATAATTTGGGTTTTAAGTTCCTTGGTGTAGTGTTTTCATAAATTACAAGGTCATGTTATATCAAACACTCCAACACTATAGAATGTTATACGTCAGCATACAGTGGTTGGACCTGTTGTTTATGGCTGTACCCTCAGGACCCTGAAAAATTAAAAGGGAACATAAAATACTGTGTCAAAACCCATATCTAATAATGCTGATTTAATTGTCTACTAGGTAATTAGGGAACCCTTTTGAGGCTTCTTCAATATTTTTTGCTCTTCGGCAAATGGATTTAGGTCTGCCTAATCGCTAGATGTGTGGTGGATGCTTTTGGCTTATATATCTGGCTGTTGGTTTAACAGAGGGTTTGGTGGACGTTATTCTCTATCATCAACCCGATGACAAAAAGAAGAATCGGGGGTTCTGCTTCCTTGAATATGAGGATCACAAGTCAGCAGCACAAGCCAGACGCCGGCTGATGAGTGGAAAAGTAAAAGTATGGGGAAATGTAGTTACAGTTGAATGGGCTGACCCTGTGGAAGAACCAGATCCAGAAGTCATGGCTAAGGTAAATGCAGTTGCTTGGGATGGGGGTGAGATTATCATTTAAATTTTGTACTTAGAATAAAGCTCAATTTTTAAAGGTTTTATGATAAATATAGATTGTAGCGCTTGATCTTAATTATTTAGGCAAGGACCTGCTTTAATACCAAACTTAACATCCTGTCTTAGTATCCAGAAGTTTCTTTTAATCCTCCCTTTTCCCAGAGATTAAATGTGCAAAGGAACTGAAATGAAATCCCTTTAAGTATTTTCATACACGCTGAGAATTTGTTTAGTGCTAGGCACTAGGAGGGATACAGAGGTTTATAAAAGACCAGGACTTGTTGAATAAAGTAATGTTTTGGAGATTATGAATTGTAATCTTCATTGACCATACTATGACTTTTTTCATTTAATGGTCAAGCTCCCTTAGAGTATTGTCTCCAAGAAGAAAGACAAAGGGTTATCATGTTTGCTGTTACGTGATAGTGGCAAAATATGCATGGCAAGTCCTGTGGCAGGCCCTTGCTTTCCTCCTGAATCTTATACTTGCATTGCTGCGATCTTTGCCTGGTAAATAATGGTGCCATGAGATCTGATGGTTAGGCTTTCTTTTGGGTGACTCCAGGGATTGAAGGGACACATCAGAGTGGCATCTCTGCTGGTTCTAGTGAGTTTTTGTGTATTTTGGTGTGTCTCTTCCCTTCTTGGTAATAAGGCAGCAACTCTTTGATGGCCAGAAATTAGTGGTTGAATTCTTTTAGACTAAGAAGTCTTTCTTTAAAGGTTTTTTTTTTTCCAGGTTCTGAGCAAGTAGTCTTCACTCTAACTAGTTTGAAGGAGAGCCAGCCCCAGTTTTTACTAGTATTATCCAGTTTTTGTAGGCACAGACCTCTTTGGATTAAGAGAAGATCCATTGAAAATGAATCAGAGGCTTTCACATGTGCTGCTCAGTATCTTTTTCCCATTTCTTGAATAGATTTGTGTTAAGGAAGGGACGGGGAATTTAAATAGCTCTGATTTTTTATTTTTATTTTTTACTAACATTTTAATTCCATTTGTTTATTCTAATGCAATTTGACTTTGGGCAAGCTACTGAACTTGGATGTTCTCTGTTTTACTGGAATTGGATAAGTCTCTTAAGAACCCTTACAACTTTGACTGCCTTGTAGAAACAGTATAGTTTGTATTACATTTTCTATAAAAACGTGTTTAAAGTAGCATGTGTAATGTGTAATATATCTACACATTATAAGAGGTGAATAAAATTCCCAGAGAATGTAAGTGTAGCTGGTAATTTGCTCATCAACACTTTTCACATACCTCTTGTAACCTTTCAGATTGAAATTCATCCTAAACTTTTTTCTGTAGGGTTAGAAAACGTCAACATTTTATGCGAGGAAATATTCTTCCGAGGTCATAAACAAGTTTCAGAAAGAAAGGGAGGCCTCAATAAACTTGAATAATACTTATTGAATAAATTTGATCGAATAATATTGATTTCTTTATTGTTTTCTAAATTCCAACAGGGGGGTCCTACCCTAAAGAGTAAAAGCTTCTGGTATTACTTCACTCTATCAGTGTTGTAATTCATTGAAGATATTTTGTCAACTTGGGTCAGTTTTATAATAAATCAAAACCTAAGAGCCTAAATGTATTTTTCTTAAAGGGACTTTGTTCCTTTGGAACGTTTTAAACAAAGTTTCAACAAATAATTTTTATATAGTATGTTGTGGTTTCATCTCCAAAAAGAATAAAAGATCTATGTTGAATTTTTTTTAGAAAAGTAAACCAACGGAGGCCTGCATAACATAGAGTTTGACCTCTGTGACAACACTGCAAAAATAAAGGGGGTCGAGGTGAAAGTGGACGATGTTAGGTTTTTTCACCTTGAATTAATACCTTTCCTCAGATAATTTTTATTCATATAGCCCTTTATCTAAGGTAACAACTTACTCAGTGAGTGTGTTAATTTTTTTCTTTGAATAGGTAATACAGTTCCTTAGTTCAAAAATCAAAATTATGAAGAAAGGTATAGTCAAAGAAGTCCCACTTCTACTTAATCCCATCTATCATATTCCCTGTCCCTGATACACACCCAGTTTTAGTAGTCTCTGGTTTATTCTTTTAGAGGTTCTTTCCTGACTTTACATGATGGTTACAGGTAACCTACCATATTCACTGATCTATATTTGCTTTATTCACTCTCCTATTTCATCAGCTCTAAGGAAGTGTACCATTATTATGCATACCACTAAAAAATTATTAAATGTTGCCAATTAAATTATGACATAGTGCCTGCATGTCACATCGACTGTAAGTTGGATCCCTATTTCGGAGCTGGAAAAAAGGGAAAAAATGTCTTGCCAAAAGTGTGTCCTGTTAGTCTCTTCATATCCACTCTTAGAACTCTTCCTCATTTTTTATGGTTACATAATAGTTCCATTCTGTGGATTATACTGTGCTGTGTTCAGCCAACTAGACATTGGGTTGTTTCTAATGTTTTATTATTACAATGCTATGATGAATGAGCTTGTATCTTGTTAGTTGATACAAGTTCACATATGCCTGTAGAATAGATTCTCAGAGATAAAATTGTGGGCCAAAGAGTAAATGCATCTGTAATTATTAAGATACTGCTATATTCCCCTGTTTTACTCACGCACCAGCAAAATACAAGAGGCCCATTTTCCTCATCGTTGTTAAAATAGTGTATGATCTTATTTTGGATTTTGCCAGTCTGGTAAATGATATATCTCAAAACCATTGTGATTGCTTCTCTTCCTATGCATGGGCTTAAGTTTTTAATATGTTGAGGGCCATTTGTGTTTCCTTATATGAACCATGTATTTGTGAATTACGCATATCTTTTTGTTTCCATTGAGCTTTTTTTTTTTTTCCTTTTCCTGGAGCTCTGATACTAAAAAAGAAAGATGAACTCTAATAAGTCATTTGTCTTTTGGCTCCATTTCTGGTATTTTTTGCCATATGAAAGTCACTTATTTCTAGTAGTTGAATTTTATCACTCCTTTATGTAATAGATTTTAAATCACAGAGCCTTCCTTAGAGCAATGTTTACATAAAGGAATTACCCTTATTTTCTTCTAATATTTTTCAGTCTCTTCCCATCCCCACCCCTGTCCACCCCTTTGGAAGTTTTTGATCTATTTGGGGTTTATCCTGGTATATATAGTGTGAGGTATAAATCCAACTTTTTTTTAAGTTTTTATTTTTAAGTAACTTTACACCCAGCACGTGGCATGAACTTATAATCCTGAGATCAGCAGTTGCATGTTCCACTGAGCCAGTCAGGCGCCCCCCAACTTTTATTTTTACCCAGATGAACACTACACTGTTCCAGTGATTTAAGAGTTATAATTTGTTATATGTGGTAGGGCTAGTCTCTAAATTTTGTTCTTTTGTTCTTTTTTTCCCCCCTATTTCTTGTTTATTTTTTCATATGAACTTAGGAATCTGCTCACTCAGTTCTAGGGGGGAAAGCCCCAAAACATACTGTTTTAGAGGGTGTTGAGGGACGATGTTAAATTTTTGAATCAACCTAGCAATTATGTGTTGGTTCCTTGAGAGTTCTGTTCACAGTGTTAGGGATTTTAATGGCAGGGCAAGAGAAGGACCCAATAATCTATATAAATTGGTAACTGACAATAATTTTCTTGGTAGTTTTCATACTTTCTGTGATGTACTTTTAATATTTAATGTTTTTGAAAAGGCAAGGTTGCCATGAGGATAGGAAGAAATACTTTTAGTGTAAGACTTCAGCTAAAATTAAGTAGCCAGTGCCAATTTTGTGTATTTGTTTTATTAGGTGAAAGTTTTATTTGTGAGAAACTTGGCTACTACAGTGACAGAAGAAATATTGGAAAAGTCATTTTCTGAATTTGGAAAACTCGAAAGAGTGAAGAAGTTGAAAGATTATGCATTTGTTCATTTTGAAGACAGAGGAGCAGCTGTTAAGGTAGAGATTTTGAAATTTTGCATCTTGATATTCGAATTTTGTTGTTGAAACTTGCTAAGCCCATAAAATGACTTTAAAAACTGAAATAAAATTGGTTTTCAGCTTTTGCCGAGCTCTGGAACTATCTTTTAATTATCTGAAGTGGTAATAGTTTAACAGGTAAGACTTCATATTTCAAAGCCTGATTATTACTAACTGGGTTTGTGATTTCAGGCAAGTATTTTTAATCTCTGTATTGTTTTTGTAAACCTAGGGTTTGATAGCGTGATGCCTTGGAAATATTACAAGGTGTATTAATTAGCTGTTGTAAATGGTAAAACAGGTAATGAATGTACTATAACTACTCTGTGGATTTATGAAGGAACCTGAGCCTTGTACATGACTTCACACACAGTACAACATATTTAATTCAGCAGATGTGTTCTGAGAGAATGGTTAGTTCCTTTTTTTTTTTTTTTCTTAATGTTTATTTATTTTGAGAGAAAGAGACAGATTATAAGTGGGGGAGGAACAGAGAGAGAGGCCCAGAATCCAAAGCAGGCTCCAGGCTCTAAGCTGTCAGCACAGAGCCCAGCACAGAGCTGGAATTCACAAACTGTGAGATCATCACCTGAGCTGAAGTCAGACGCTTAACTGACTGAACCACCCAGGCACCCTTTTAGTCTTGCCTTTCTTCAGTCATTTTAGAATTCTAATAGTATTAACTGCTTTTGCTGGTTTCAGTAGTTGTTAGAGACATTTCTTGCATGTAATAGTTGATTTGATGATAGTAATGAAAATGGTGAAAAAAGTAGTTTCGTGGGGTGGCTATGACATCAAAGCTGAATACTCTGCTGTTTTTCTCTCATAATGGATCAGTATCATTTTTAATGTGTAAAATTTCTAGTTTCTTGTTCCTCTTGCCTTTCCTAGTGGGGGAAAGAAGACAAAACACTAAAAAAGATTTTTATGTATTTGGGGAATTACGTCCAAAATCCTCAGTGACTCATTCAGGCTTAGTTCTTTTCCTACATGTTCTGTTGGTGGAGTGGTGCCACCTCTAATTTGAGCAGTTTTTGTTTCCTGCCTAGGGTGTACTGCTTTAAAGTGTGCCTTATAGAATCTTTGACTTGTTAGAATTTATTAGTTTGCTGCTTTTTTTTTTTTATGTTTGTTTATTTTTGAGAGTGATCACGTGAACAGAGGAGGGGCAGAGAGAGGAGGGACAGAGGATCTGAAGCTGGTTCTGTGCTGACAGCAGAGAGACCCGTGCAGGCCTTGAACTCACAAATTGTGGGGTTGTGACCTGACCCGAGGTTGGATGCTCAACCAACTGAGCCACCCAGGCGCCCCTGTTGGTTTGCTTTTTGATGGAAACTAATTAATGAGATAGCACTGCTTATCAAATTCACAGTTTAGTACAGAATCTAATGCTTGGTTTCTGAAACTGCCAAAGGTATGAAACGGATAACTGATAAATTTACACCTTCTAAACACTCATTTTCATTCAGTCCTTATTAAATAAATAGTTGCCTCTAATTAAAAATAATCATAAAAATTGATTGGGTGGTTTGCCACATTACAAAATTTATCAGCATCTGGGAAGCTTTTGTAGACTTGACTTAGTTGCTTTAGGTGAAGGAGCCAAAAGCTAATGTGGTAAAGGGGAGAAATTAGCTTGTAGAGGAAGACTGATTTAGTCTTTCTTTGTTCAGATACTTTTTATCACTGAATGCTCCTTATAGATAGAGCATTTTATTCTGTTCATCCAGAGAAGAAAAGGTTGTGTAAGAAAACAGAAAAGCTGTGGTGAGGAGGTGATACCTTGTTACTGAGTTACTTGAACTTTGATGTATGGCAGGGGCTGTTAGGTGGAACAGCGTAGATAAAGGACAGAGCATAGAATACTTATGGTTACTACTTCCCAGGTGAGTACTTGAGTCTTCATTAGTCCACGCCTGTTCTGGCCTCTGTGCTCTTAACTGTTCAGGGGAAGTATGTTTTAGGTGAAGTGTTGTGGGGGAAACCTAGGCAATTTTTGGTCAGTATCTTGTTCCGTTTAATTGACAACCGCATTCAGTAACGTCATTTGTCTTTAATATCTTTAAGATTTTTATGGAAGAGTAGTTTCAGATTTACATGTTGAATGCCATGTTTTTTATTTAAAAATTTGAATCCTGAAAAGTTTGTGTTAATACTGGTGCTTTTCCCAGACGTGGATTTGCTTCTTTTGTATGGCTCAACTTGGAGGGGTTAGTTATTTAGAATTAAGGAGCAGTGATAGGCAGCCCTCGAAGCCCCTTTACCTTTTTAAATATAATAGTAGGACATCAAGTTTGTTTTCAGTATAATTTGGCAGGGGGGCGGAGTGAGGGCAAAGGAACAGGGAGAGAGAGAATCCTAAGAAGGCTGTCATTGTAGAGCCTGATGCAGGGCTTGAACTCCCAAACCATGAGATCATGACCTGAGCTGAAGTCAGACACTTAACCGACTGAGCCACCCACATTCTTTTGCCAGTTAAGATAGTTGTGAAATAAATTGCTTATTAATTGTATTAAGTGGCACAGACATGTTTTTGTAATTATGTTTTAAAGTACTTGTTTACTTGCAACATAAACTTATTTTTGTAATTTTGCGTAGGCCATGGATGAAATGAATGGCAAAGAAATAGAAGGGGAAGAAATTGAAATAGTCTTAGCCAAGCCACCAGACAAGAAAAGGAAAGAGCGCCAAGCTGCTAGACAGGCTTCCAGAAGCACTGCGTGAGTCTACATTTTAATAAATACATCTCTGAACAAGGAATAACTTGGTAATAGAGATCAAGTTAATAAAAAATTTAGGATTGGTCTTGATGTAAGCTAATTGTTTTTTTCTTTTCTCCCTTCCTTCCGTTGCTAGGTATGAAGATTATTACTATCACCCTCCTCCTCGTATGCCACCTCCAATTAGAGGTCGGGGTCGTGGTGGGGGGAGAGGTGGATATGGCTACCCTCCAGATTACTATGGCTATGAAGATTACTATGATGATTACTATGGTTATGATTATCACGACTATCGTGGAGGCTATGAAGATCCCTACTACGGCTATGATGATGGCTATGCAGTAAGAGGAAGAGGAGGAGGAAGGGGAGGGCGAGGTGCTCCACCACCACCAAGGGGGCGGGGAGCACCACCTCCAAGAGGTAGAGCTGGCTATTCACAGAGGGGGGCACCTTTGGGACCACCAAGAGGCTCTAGGGGTGGCAGAGGGGGTCCTGCACAACAGCAGAGAGGCCGTGGTTCCCGTGGATCTCGGGGCAATCGTGGGGGCAATGTAGGAGGCAAGAGAAAGGCAGATGGGTACAACCAACCTGATTCCAAGCGCCGTCAGACCAACAACCAACAGAACTGGGGTTCCCAACCCATCGCTCAGCAGCCGCTTCAACAAGGTGGTGACTATTCTGGTAACTATGGTTACAATAATGACAACCAGGAATTTTATCAGGATACTTATGGGCAACAGTGGAAATAGACAAGTGAGGGCTTGAAAATGATATTGGCAAGATCCGATTGGCTCTAGATCTACATTCTTCAAAAAAAAAAATTGGCTTAACTGTTTCATCTTTAAGTAGCAGTTTGCTGCCATTTGTATTGGGCTGAAGAAATCACTATTGTATATATACTCAAGTCTTTTTATTTTTTTCCTCTTTTCATAAATGCTCTTGGACATTATTGGGCTTGCAGAGTTCCCTTATTCTGGGGGTTACAATGCTTTTATCGTTTCAGGCTTCATTTTAGTTTCAAAAACAAGCTGAGCACACTGTTAAATCATGATTTTGCAGAACCTTTGGTTTTGAACAGTTTCATTTTTTTTTGGATTTGGGATAGATTACATAGGAGTATGGAGTATGCTGTAAATAAAAATACAAGCTAGTGCTTTGTCTTAGTAGTTTTAAGAAATTAAAGCAAACAAATTTAAGTTTTCTTGTATTGAAAATAACCTATGATTGTATGTTTTGCATTCCTAGAAGTAGGTTAACTGTGTTTTTAAATTGTTATAACTTCACACCTTTTTGAAATCTGCCCTACAAAATTTGTTTGGCTTAAACGTCAAAGCCGTGACAATTTGTTCTTTGATGTGATTGTATTTCCAATTTCTTGTTCATGTAAGATTTCAATAAAACTAAAAAATCTATTCAAAACATTACCTATTTCAAATTCAATTGTGTCCTAAAACATTATTTTATTCGTAATCCTTGCGAGGAATATTGTTTTCAAATTATAACTGCCTATGTGAGTGATCAAATTCATGCAAAATTTCTTGTCTATTCCAATATGTACCGTGGCTATCAGACTGAGAATTAGTCTAAATTCTAGTATTTATTCCAAATAACACTTTATTGGTTGGTGTTCTCTCATAGTCTCTTCTAATTTTGAAATTTTATCCTTTATTTTTATAAAAACAGGTTCAAAGGCTTTTGAACATTCTTGCAGGCATTGGATAATTTGCGTTAAATAAAAATGGGGCTGGGGAAGCAGACTGCAATTTATTTTGACCCACATTCTTTCTATAAAGGATAATTTGTTGCCTGAAGAACTTACTTGCTGGATAAGTGAATGTATAACAGGAAAAAATGTTAGTACTGTGGCGTCAATTGCACTGCGGACTAAACATCAATTTTAGCGTACATGATTGTGACTATCACTTCAGTTACTGGTTTAGGAATATAATTTCCAATTGTAAATTTGCTTTGAGAAGCACTCATGCCTTTTAAGAGAGGCTTAAAAATACCCACTTCTGACTTTCTGTTAATACCTCTTACTTTTATTTTATTTTTTTTTACTATCCTCCTGGCTAAAGTTTTTATTGGCCGAGTTATAACACCTATTTCCCTGTTTCCTTTAGAAATTCTGAATTATTGCAATGGCAGTTTTACTTGAGAATAAGAGGAACAAAAGAATCCCAACTTGACAGTGCAGAAAAGTCTGGATCACTTTCAAATTACCATAAAATTTTCCCTTATGTTTTATTCTTAGGTGGGTCTAAAATGTCGTTAAATTATAAAAATAAGCCATTAGAGAATAATTAATTAAAATGGACACACCTTTATTATGTGTTTTGTTCCTGTTTGGTGTCTTTTATGACAGCAGTAGTAAATTTCAAAATCATAAGCCACTTAATATGAATGTGCTTAGATCATATTTTGGGTTTCATGGCTTCTCTTTTGACTTCAAATAAGAGAATACTTACTGATGAAAGTCTATATCTCATTTCTCTTTAAAAGTACACTTATTATATAATTCAGTAAGTTAATAGGCCTTATTAATATTCCTTTTGTTTTTGGAAACTCATAAAGGAATTATATAGTCTGTTGTATTTTCAAATTAACATGGGTATCTGTTTGGTAAAGCTTAGATCTAGTTGTTTTTCTTATGCCCATGTATGCAAGTAAAGACACCAAACATTCTTTAAATGCTGCTTTTAAACTTTGAAAATACAATCTGTAGCAATAAGCCTAAATTAGACTTAAATATAATCCTGAATTTTCTTGGAAAGAAGAAAGCAATAAGCCTAAATTAGACTTAAATATAATCCTGAATTTTCTTGGAAAGAAGAAAGCATTTACAAGTAAAACTTGAATTGTTTGTATTTTTTAAAAATTTGATGTTACCAGCTACAAAGTCGCTATGAAGAAAATTAGGAATGGGAAAAACAGTGATTCTGAAACATTAATTTATTTTGCTTCCCCTACCCATCCTAAAATATAAACCCTAGCAAAAACATAAGACTAAATAAAATTTGGGTCCCATGTCAAAATCCTTTCCTTTAATTGCAAATAATATTTTACTCTCATCTATTAAAATATGCCTGAGTTGTCCCTCTAATATTGCTTTATAGGGTTTTTGTAGCTATTTTATTCAATAGAAAAACACAACTTTTTGAGCATTAAATCTCATTTTAGAGCTTTTTCCCTTGTTGATGTCTTGTAAACTATTGCGGTAGCAGCAGAGAAAATAGATTAAGAGCTTAACTTTTCACAGAAATAAATCTAACCATCTAATCTATAAACCTCAAATATGTCCGTTGAGGAGGTCTTTGTTTTAGATTTTCATTAGGTGTTTTATTTTAATGAATTTTTTTAATGAGTTCTGGGAAATTTCATTTCCTGCTCTTGTGCCATCTTTTTTGTTCCCCAACCTAATTCATTTGCTTTTACTTATGAGCCTGCTGCAGTAATGTGCGTTGGGAAATCTATTTATTTCATATTGAGGCCAACCTCTTCATAGGTACCCTCCTGAGACTGACATAAATATCCCCCTTCCCCTGGAATGCTAATTTTTATTTGATCACTCATTTATAGCAGTTGCTTAAATGTATGTATTTATATGATGGTGTTTTAATTTTTTAAAAGCAAAAAAGTTCTAATAAGTTGCCAGATTTCTAATAAATCCAAGTTTATTTGATCAATTGATACGGAAATTGAGTTACTATGGTTCTGTAGTTAGTTTTTTAAGCGAAAGTTCAGCATAATTGTTTTTCAGTTTTCTTAGTTACTGGGGTTATTCTGCATAAGAAAGCCCAATGCTTTCTGCTAGTAGACAATTTTTCTCTCATTTGACTTTGAAATCCGACTTAGGAGGTGAACCCTCTTTTTAAAAAGAACAGCATGCATCAAAATAAATTTTGTTGTAAATTCCAAAAGAGAAGAGACCTAAAATTCCATTCCTAGCATAAAGCCACATAATATTCTTGAAACTCATTACATCATTTGCCTCCTGCCCATTTGGATAATCATACCTATGTTTTATTAATTGTGTATTATTTGTAAAAACCAAAACCCTTCCAGTAAATACTTGCTATAAGGCTATTATTTGTCAATTATAAAGACTTTTACATATGGTAAAATTTGCAGTTTGATTTTCCAAAGAGGATTTTGTTACATTGAGCTATCCAGTATTCTTAAAGAAAACCAACTGAAGTATGTGGAAGAAATTTTAATGTTAGTTTTGTCCCTTACCGTGTGGCATTTCTTAAGTGAGCAGCTAAGAAAAAGCCTTATAGAAAGAGTGCACTGGATTTATAAGTGTGTTTATGTTTCTCTAAGAATGGGAGCTTCTGTTAACTTAGTTCTGAGTAAGCCTGGGGATTGGGTGACTGACTAGAGAATTCAGAATGACAAATCCACTAACCAAGCATGTTTACTTTTGCACTAGAAGTTTGTGATTAGTTTTGATTTTTGAAATGCAAACACCAAGCCTTAAAAGTACTGCATATTTAATGTATTAGTCAGTAATTAATATTTGTATTTAATTTGAAGTATAGTTACTGTTAATCTTTCTAGAATAGTTTTTTTTTCTTCTTAAATATATATACATACGTATTTTTTATTTAGAGGTTACCAGAAGCTCTGGGTTTTTTGTTTTGTTTTTGTTTTTTAACCATTTTCAGATGTTATCCAGAAATCTGCAAGTGTACTTTTCCTGTTTTAACTCCTTCCTTTTATCACCTGACTATCAGGGAAGCGAGGTTGAGGCTGCCCTGACCTGACATGTCATGATGTCGACTTGCTAGGTGGGGTTCGCTGGGGACGATAACCAGTGGAATTGTTGGTAAGAAATTTTTTTTTCCTATTTTTTTTTTTATCAGTAGTGGGGCATTAAGTGTGGGAGGATGCCCATATTTTATAAGTGGGCATTTATGTTGGCCTTGTAGACAAATAAGACATAATATTAAATAATTTTGTTCTTAATAGGAACATATAATAAGTACTTCATACTTTGTATTGTCAAATTATAGTTTAGCAGGAAAGGCCTGCAAGTATGAAGTAATGAAATACTCAGGGTATATTTTAAGTGATCGAAATAGACACCTTACAAGATAGACTCTAAAGTCTCTTAGACAATAAATTTGCTTTTATTTTACTGTGATTTCAATCCCTCTAATATCTTTATTATGTTTGCATTTTTATTGGGTAACTTAACACATAGTTCATCTTAAGAGATGTTTATTGCACGCTAATTTTAGTAAAAGTAGGAAGGTGTTGATAGAATGGAGGGTTTAATAAGCATTAGGAGAAATTATTTTTAAATCTTCCAGAAAATTTTAACATTGTAAAATGAAACTTAAAAGTTCTAGCAGTTTCATAAACGGCAGAGGGCTTGTTTTAAAGATACATTTGATATAATGACTTTGGGTCAAGAGGAAATTACATAGCTAAAATACTAGGACCTTGAACAGAGTGAAACCACAGATCTGTCAACAACTGTGTTTTGTCTGAAACCCAGGACAGCTGCTGGGATTAGTAGACACTGGTAGAATTTAGGAGTACGTTTTTAGATGATTACTTAAGATTAAAATCTCTCATAATGGAGGATTCCATGATAGTAAAGTATAAATTAAGGAAATTACCTTTAATAACTAAGCATTTCTGACCATAACCCATAAAAAATAATTGTAATATGTCTGATTAAAAGTAATTATTCATGCCTGAAGAACCTCCCTAATATTCTTATGCCTTCTTTCTCAGTTGAGTGTATCAGTCTAGGAAGAATCTCTTAGATGTATGTTAAACGTTCTAGTGTCCTGAAATCTTGTCTGTAAGCTTGCTATAGATTACCTGTAAATCGCTACAATGAAATTGTACTTTAAAAATTGCAGTAATTGCATTATTTTGTTGAGGTACTTGTTTCTCTTTTGACATATTATATGTGTGTATCAGTGATAGAAAAGATAGAGATTGCACTAATAATGGTGCTCTTTGGAAAACTTGTTATAGTAAGTAGTAGGAACACTCAAGTGATTCTGAGGGGTTCATCTAAGTTAAGGAAAACGCAGTACAAACTCTAGTTAGCTTTTATATACTAACAGTAAAACACATTTCGTGGGGTCAGAAAAGTAGATATTACGGGGGAAGACTTAAATTCCTCAAATATAAACAAGGGCTTTCATTTTATGTAGTAACTTTGTTAGGATCCTGTGAACATTACTTTTCTTGATTTCTCATCTGTGATGGTTGGACAAGAGGGACTTTTCTAGCTTGTTCAGTAACATAGGTAGAATTGTACTTTAATGAATCCAATTAAGATGTTTAGTACTATGTTATAAGGCTATTTATATAATTGAGCTGAAAGCTCCTGCAGACACTACATTGCTATATGCACACAGTAATATGAGAATATCAAAATAGGACCATTTGCAAGACCACT